TAACTGATTAAAATAAATAGCTTGCAATAATGTTGCAAACAGAGACTGTACTCAATATTGCCATTAATAATGCTCTCTTAGGACCTTAGAGATTACTTATCACAATGATCCATTCACAGTATCTACACCTCATGACATTAGGGATTTGCTTCAAAATAATCCTGGAAGGGATGGGGCAATACACTTAAACAAGACTGTTCATGAGTTAATAATTACTGAAACAGGTGATGGGTGATGGATTTCATTATACTTTTTATATGAGCTTTATATCTATTTTATAGAGTATATTTACATTGTACTCTTTTTCCTTTTGTATATTTTTGGGAGTTTTTCATGATAAGTTAAAAAAATTTTTTTGTCTCCAAAACTGAAGATCTCACACAAATGGTAGGTAACAACTTGGGGGCCACTCCAGTTTAAATACTGAGTCTTACAAGCCAGTACTTCACCCAACTGATGTGTTTATAGTGTCCAACATCCAAACGTGGATGTAAGTGGTGACATTTGGATGCCAGGTGTCACTGTTACCCCAAAGAGTGTCCGCATCCATCTTCCTCCACACACTTGGCACCAACTTCATTTGGCAAACCCCAAGCAAGCCAATCCTCTCGTCAGATATATTGATATTTAAGGTACCCCTGAGTTCTGATAATTGGTTCCAAATGCTTCACTTAGAGTCAAGGAAATAGAAAAGCAGATCAACAAAGCTGTTCATTCTTTGGGAGACCATTTGATCAAGATGGAAGTCAAAAATAACACAAATGCCAGGATTGTTGCAGGATTTGAGACCAAGCCCCTCTGGACTCGATGCACAAATCTCTTAAAAAGACAGAAAACAATTCAGAGGAACAAGGAATGTCATTCTTCAGCTTTGAAATAAACACTGTAATGAATCAGAACAGCAACAAATTCACCTGGGCTGGGCTGGATATTTATGAACCTCATATGTATCTCAGCCCCTGCTGCTGAAGTTGCCAAAAAAGTGGCTAGCTCTGGGGCACACAGAAGACAGGCTGCCAAGACTTTGGGAGGTACTTTTTCTGCAGGTATAAACCCCTCTAGGGGTGTGGATCTCAGAGAATATGTGGTTCATTGGAGCATAAACCGAAAACAACTGTTGCACAAGCCCAGACTGTTAAGAAGTCTATTTAACTAGCAGGATTGCAAATAGCAAACTAACAATAAAGAGTTTGCTTTTATGAATTTGGAAGGAATCTCAGTGATTAGTATCAACTACAAAAGTAAAGCATCCTAGATCAGAATACAGAAGCCCCTTAATGGTATACTTAAAAAAATCATTTTTATCTAATGTTCGTAGATACAAAAATATATATATATCTCACTCGTATGCAACTTATGATGCAGAATTAAATGAAGACTTATGAGCTCTCTGTTCAATTTAGGAACTAGAACACTATCAGTTACACCGCTCAACTTCCTTCCCTCCACACCCCAACAGTAACTACTATCCTGAATTATCTGTTTACCATTTCCTTGCTTTTAATCACATGTTATGAATCCTCAAAAAATAAACTTTGTTTGATTTTGCTTATGTTTGAGCTTCATAAAATGACATCATGATATATGTAGTCTCTCAGGACTTGCTCTTTTTCACTTAACATTATGTGTCTAAGCTTCATCCCTGGCCAAATGAGGAGCTGCACTTCATTCATTTTCACTGCTGTATAATAATCCATTGTGTGAGCAGAGTACAGTTTGTCCATTCTGCTGTGGACTGTTTTCATGTTTCAATGTTCTTGGCAGTGCTGCTATGACCCTTCTCAATCATGTGCAAGAGTTTTTCTGGGTGGAAACTCAGAACACCAGGTCTGTTAATGTTTAACTCTACAAGATAAACAATACAAGGGAATGTCAAATTGTTTTCCAAAGTAGTTGTACCAATTTAGACTCCCAGCAGCACTGTGTAAGCATTCCCATTCATTTATGTCATCTCCAATTGTTTAGTCATCAGACTTTTGGCTTTTGCCAACCTAATGAGTATAAAATGATACCTCACTGAAGTCTTAAATTGCATTTCCTTGTTCCTAATGAGGCTTAACAACTTTACCTACGCTTAGTTACCATTTGTTTTTCTTTTGTGAAATGCCTACTTATGCTTTTTACTGATTCTTTTTTCCTTATGAGGCTTTTTTCTTTCTGACTTTGTAGGCATTCTTTATATACTAAGCAGTCTTCTTTACTGCTTATCAGTTTGCTGATGTTTAAAACTCCAGATGTATGGCATTTAGAATGGGGAGGACCTTGCAAAATATATAGTTAATCTCCCTCCTATCACCAATGAGAAAAACTGAAATGCAGAGATTTCCTGCAACTTACTCAGTATCACAATTTGTGTTAGCAGCAGTGCTGAAACAAATGCCTGAATTTTTTAACCCCCAAATTAAGTCATTTTCCTGTTGTACTCTGATGACCCCTTTTATTGGTTTGTCTCTCTCTTTCTTTAGTTTTAGAAAGTGCCCAAGTAATACATGGTCTTGGTAGAAAAAAGGAAAAATAAACATGAGCAAAATGAAAATCAACTTTAATTCCACCTTTCAGATGAAACTGCTTTTGACATTCTACATTTCCTTTCCAGATAATAACTGTAATAGATAACTGTTATGGAATGCTTCCTACGGGCTACTTAGTGCCGTACACTTACTATGTGCCGGGTACTGTTCTAAACACTTTACATGTATTGATTCTTTTGTTCATCTCAAAAACTTTACAGTGCAGATTACCACCATTATTCTGAGTGTGGTAGGCAGAAGAACAGCCTTCCAAAGATGTCCACGTCCTAAACCCAGGAAACTGTGAATATGTGATGTTACACATCAAAGAGAATTAAGGTAGCAGATAGAATTAAGGTGCTAATGAGCTGACCTTAAAATAAGGAGCTGATCCTGGATTACCCAGCTGGGGGTCCAATGTAATCACAAGGACTCTTAATTGTAGAAGAGGGAGACAGAAAAGTCAGTGTGGCAGTGATAAAATCTGAGAAAGAGTCCACCGGCCATTGCTGGCTTTAAAGAGTAAGGAAGGGGACCACGAGCCAACAAATGCAGGCAGCCTCTAAAAGCTCAAAAAGGCAAAAAGACAAATTCTCCCTTAGAGTCTTCAGAAATGGACACAACCCTGCTGACATGATTTTAGACCTACACGATTGACAGAATAATTGCCCCAAAGATGCCCCCATCCTAATCTCTGGAACCTATGAATACATTCCGTGACAGGGTAACAGGAACTTTTCAGATGCGATTAAGTTAAGGATCTTGAGATGGGGAGAGTATCCTGGATTATCCAGGTGGGCCCAATGTAATCACAAGGATTCCTTTTGAAAAGGAAGCAGGAGGGTGAGAGTCAGGGAGACATGAGGACCAAAGCAGAGGTTGGAGTGCTGTGCTTTGAAGATGGAGGAAGGGGCCACAAGACAATGAATGCAGGCAGCTTCTAGAAAAGGCCAGCAAACAGATTCTCCCCTGAGCTTCCACAGGGGAGATTTTGACCCAGTGAAACTGCTTTTGGACTATCTCCAGGACTCTAAGATAATCATCTGTGTTGTCTTAAACCACTAAATTTGTGGTATTTGTTACTGCAGCAATAGGAAACTGAGATACATCATTTATAGGTGACCAGAGCCATACAGCTAGTGGTAGAGAGAGATCTGAACTCAAACGATCAGCTCCAGAGCCCATCTCCTTTACCACGATGAGATATATACAGATAGAGATTTAAACAGTGCATGTATTTCAATAAATGCAAATCTTTGACATTAATACCCATTCAGCACCACCTTATTAAATAGTTGTGTTCCATGGAATAAATACCATATTTTATTTAATAAATCCTTATTATTGGATACTTACATTGTTTTTAATGTTTCAATATTCTAAAATTGGCAGTAATAAACATCTTTCCAGTGATATGAATAATTTCTTTAGGGAAAACTCTTAGGAATGCTAGGTCAAAAAAATGCCTTTTAAAAAACAGCCAAGTTAGGCTCAAAAGATTGCACTGAAATATAATTTAAAAGAAAATAAAATACACGACTAAAGCAAGAACATATCTACCTTCTGTTTCTGCAACACTTCTGGTATTAGTCTATTTTTCTTATCCATGGTATACATTCAATTTTATTTTTGATTTTTAAGGCTTTAACTATAACTTTTTTTCTGTAGAATCACAGGTGTTAGAACTGGAGAGTATTTAGAGGCCATTTAGTCTAACATTTGAATTTATAGGTAAAGTCCCTGAGGTACAAAGAGGTGAAAAGATCAGAAAGGCTTCCCGAGTGGGGCATGTCTGGCCACAACCCACTAGCCTGACTCTAAGCCCAGCATCTTTCCACATCTGCTGAACATGTCATGAGGATGGCCCCCAAGTGGGTACCATTTTTTTCTTCGTCTTCAAATCATGCCAGAAAGCTCTTGTCTTCATTAATCAAAAGCATATTTTAGGGGCTGTACATTAATAATGACTCCATATATCCAGTGTTAGAAGGTGAACCCTAGCCCTTACCAGGAGTGAGCCTGTTTTTATCTTCTCATTGTGAAATTTGGTGGGATTGATGGCAGACAATAACTCCCCCTCCCCAATCTCTTACGTAGGAGTTCTTAGAACGGATCATGGGAGGTTTCCTTCACATTTTTGCCTAAGACTATATAACTTTCTAACTTGGTTTGCGTGTTACCCAGCAGCACTAAGGTTACTCTGTCCTGGAATTTGATGTACACAACGGTATGCAAGCTCCTTTCTTCTCTCTGAAGCAAACAATGAAATAGAAAAACACACTGCCATTTTCTGACTGACCTCAATCGCTGAGGGTGGACCCCGCACGTTACATCAGCAGGCCGGCTCCATTACACTGCCCTGCGCTGTGCTCGAGCTACTGAAATATTGATTTTTACAGAGCCGGCGCACACACACTGAAAAATCAATATTCCAGTGCACACAACAGAACAGGCGGCAGAGCCGGGACCAACTCCGAGGCCCAGCAAGCACTGCCGGCAGGCCTTGGCCGAGGAGGGGGTGGGGGGCTGAACGAGACAATGCCAGGGAGAGGCCCCTGCAAATCCGGGAATGGCAGATAAACCAAGTGTGGAGAGGAAAGAGAAAGGAGAGTGGAAAGATCCTTGAGGATAAAACAGTTGGAAGGAGCAATGATTTATCTTTCCATAGGGGTAAATGGGGAGAAGGAGAGAGTAAATTAAGAAGAGAGGCTGGGAAGAATTTACAGGTAAGAATCTTCCCATGAAAATGTATCTTTTGCTTTTCTGTATCACGGTCAGACTAATGGAAAAATGAAAAAGATGATACAGATATTTTATTATACGAAGGAAAAAATAACTAGGCCAATTCTGAGAAATATTTATATTTTTAAAAATGCAGCCCCTTTCCTTTTTCTTGGTGACTAGAGGCTGGCAGATCTTACAATAACCATCAGAGTCAGCACTTATAATACCGGCTCTACCTTTGCATTGCTGTTACTTTCCTTTCCTTGGGGAAGGGGGAGGCAAGGAAGAGGTCCTGGTCATGTGGCCCGTCATCATTCCCTTTCTTTACAGAAAAGCACCTTCCTTGGCGTGCTTGGGGAACTACGTTAAGAGTTGATTCCTTTTACATGACCCATTGACTTCCCACGGAATTCTGAGCTGCCCAAGTCACACCTCCATCCAGATGTGAGGAGGAGAACGAGTCCCGGGTTCCAATCTCCGCTGCCCAGTCAGTACTCAGCAGAGGGCGGGGTGGAGATGGACCGGCCTTCGGTTATTCCTTGTAGACTTGTTTAAAGGGAAAAAAAAAAATCAGAACTGGTACTTTTACTATTTTGTCCTCTTTTGGGTGGGGGAGGAAAAAGGAGGTGGGATAAGCAGTTAATTAAAAGGGAGTACTTTGAATCTCGATGAATTCTTGATTTTGTTTTGTCCTAGAATTCCCTTACCCGGAATCTCGCTAATAGTTCTCTCAACTCCCTGCCAGAGGAGGAAACTGCCCTCCCCGAGGTTTCCATTTCGTTCTCTGCCCTGCAGGCAGCCTCGCCGCCTCCTCTTCCCCAGCTCAGGGGACCGCGGCTCAACCTGGTGGAAGGGACTCCGGAGGAAGCGGGCAGCTGAGGGGCACCTTCCAAAACCCGGCTCCTTAGGCCCAGCGGGACTGGCCAGGGACAAGGTCCAGCAGACTCTCTGGAGGCACAAGGGGCAAGGGGGCAGGGGGACTGGCGGGCAAGTGTGGAGTTGGGTTGGGTAGGTAGG